CTTGCACGTCTCGTTGAGTAGCTTTTTGATATGCTGGCAACACTTGTGTGACTGTGGAGGCATCTTTGAACTCAGCAAACCCAGCAGCCGTCCTAAGCGTGTTCATCGTTCCCAAACAGTCCAATTTTTCTGGGGAAATTCGGACGCACACAATATGCACAAATGGACTGACGGAATTAGGACTCAATTTCAAGTCCGCAAATAAGAACAAGGACAGGTAGGAAACTCACCTGCTTTTGGATCAGCAACAGCATCTTGTTGAGCCACGGCCCGCCCTGCAAACAGTGACAGCGAAATGAGGGAAACGAAGGCGAGGTGAGCCATTTTCAACAACACATACAACTAGTTTGGAAAAAGCTTAAGAAATATTTCTAAGTTCGAAGGGAGGGATTCCGTATCATCTTGGCAAGTGAGAGCGAGGTTGATAGGTGTAGTCTACGAGAGAGTTGCGCATCCTGCTTGCGACTGAGTGCTCGGCTTACTCTGCATTGTTTGGCCATCATTTTGAGGCAGAAAAACGGATCTAATTTGACAATAAAAGTAATAATTCATATAAGTGAACTGGAAAGTTGCGGTTGAGACAAAAGTCTTTCGTTTCTTTGCTCTAAGGATCACATGAGGATCTATTCGCATGTGGATCTGAGTAGCGCCGCACTGTCTAGGAGGCCTTATCGGAAGAACAGTCTACGAGCACTATTCCACGAATATGCTGATGCGTCAGATAAGGCTGATTGAGATACTTACGCTGCAAATTATTCAAGTGTGCGGGGCATCAGACTTAACAGAAGCCGCCGTCCAGAACCAGCGGAGCGAATTGGCGTTTCAGTGAGGCCCTAAATGCCGTACATTGTAGAACACGCCCCTTTCCCTTGTTTTCCAAGAAGAAACAACAGGAGCCATGTGCTTGAGTGAAACGATATGCGTTTTTTTGACCGCAGATTGCTCGCAGACGCGCTCGCTTGCCAGTTGCCACGGCGTGCTGAGCCTTACAGGGATGCATAGCCTTCTGCGCTTTTCATTGAAGAACAGGAAACGCCAGAAGGCAGTTGGCATCCCTTGCCTTCCTAGGGTCGGCTCAGATCTGCACACAAGAAACTGTATACGCTGCTGTGTCACACGGTGCAGACCCACAAAAGGCACCTAAAAAAGCAACGGAAAAAATACGCTTTGCTGAGCCGCAGTCATTACGAGGACCTAAAATTTTTGCATTTTCGTCCGTTTCTTTCTCCCTTAACGCCTGATGCAAGCTGCAGGAGATGTTAATGGCTGAGTAAGGTAACGGAAAACGTACACGTACTGGAAACGTAATCATCCTGGGATTTAGGCACTAAACCTCTGGCATTGGAACGTGTTTCACAAAACGTAGTGCCGATTTCAATGTTCACAGACTATTTTGACGAAAAAAACGCCGTGACTGCTTCTTTCCCAACGCACGTAGTTGCCTGGCCTTTGCGCTGGGGAGCCTCAGTCTCCGCTAGGGATTTGGATGAATGTGCAGCTGGATAAGGCGTTCTGCTCGGGCTAAGAGGAAAAAAACAGGGACTTGTGCCGTTGTAGACTGCAGAATTCAAGTTTTTTCGGTTTTCAAAAGGTTGAGCAACTCTTTTGACTGATACCCAAATTTTAACATGGGTGTCTAGGACTTGCATCACGCGCCCTTGGAAAAGTTCTTTAACGCGCTCCAGCCACTTTGCCAGCATAGTGCCCTATTGTGATCCCTAAATGCAAAAATTATGCAATTGATAGGCTCAGTTGTATTCTAAAAGCAGCACGCCTAGGAAGGCTAAGCCTTTTGATCAAGCCTGTCTCCGCACTCAGGGCTGCGGTTAGTGGAGCTCCTGAGCGAAACAGAGGCTAGCTGCGCTTGCCCAAGACAAGCGTAGCGTAGTGCTGACAACCACTGGGCCGTAACCCAGCGGATCTCATGCTTCCTACTGAAATCACTAATCCAACCATGCGATTCAGGCCAAGGCGCTTCAAACAGCGAGTAAAACACGCAGGCATTCCTGACAAGGGGTCTCAGAGCACGCGTAGAATGGTAATATGACTATTCAGCGTTGCCGCGAAAAAAAAACTGGGAGGAAAAGTTCCTCCTTCTTATTGGCTGTTGACCCCAAAACTGTGGCTGGCTCCCCCACAAATGGCAATAGCAAGTAGAGGGAAGTGCCATGATGATTCTCCTCACAAGTAACGTTCTTCGTCTTGTCTGCCAGATTAAATTTTTGGCTTCCCTGTCACTTGTGCCAGCTCAAACGGGCAGCCGTATTAGTCAAAAAAGTGCTTAAATGAGAAGCTTTATATTTATTTTGAACGTAGTGTCATAGACGATAATCCTTTCTTTGTCGTCTCGCTCGCCAGTGGTCTATGGAGAGGGCTCGTCCGACAATTTCTTTGCCACTCACCACATTCTTTCCGCTTTGTTATGCCTGTGGACGCTTTTTAGATATATTTCAGTGATCATTTGCTCAAGCATGAATTTTGAGCGGCCGGTGTGTGTCGGGTTATTGGCAAGCATCCACGAATTATGATGTTCTTCGTCCTTTGGCGCATTACCAGAAAGAAGCTCATAATTTATGGGCCTGTTTGGTCAGGTTTATTAGGTAAATTTTCTGTGTTCGACGCGTTCTGGGCGCTGTAGATCTCGACGGGTAACGCGGTGACCCAGTTTAACCTCTCAGGCAGATGGTGGAAATCACGAAAGGTTCAGGCCACACACAGCACAGTTATCCACAAAACAAGATATTGTTTTGCCTAACGTGAATACATCTGAAAAGGTGATGGGGGGAAAAGGGTGTTATCAACAAGCGCAACAGCGCCAACACAGCCCATGGTTGTCATACACGCCCACCCATCAGGAAGGAACCAACGTTCACAAAGTCCTTCCATAATTCATTTCCTTGACAGATTTTTGACTGTCAACCTTTTTGCGATCGAGCATGATTTTGTGACCGAGTATGGGTTGTCTCGTTGCTACTGCACTCGCTGTTGTGTGTGTGTTCTGTGGGCACTAGCCCGAGAGTACGGCCACAGCTGAATCAGGAATTCGTCGCATTACTGCTGTCTTTCCCTCAACTAGGCCGAACATTTCCATGTCCGTGCTTTCGTTAGTCTTGAAGACGGCAACAGGGTTTCGCCGGTCAGGCCATCAATGGCACTTGGGTTCATAGTGACGCTTTTGGCATGCGGAAGGACCACACGCTAAAAGCATCATTATGTACCAAAGTGTCACTGCTCAGGCTGTGAGTCTGAGCCTCTGTGCAGCATGCGGACGCTGGACAGAGTTGTCATCTGAGGTCTTACCGAATAAATAATCCGGTGAGCGAGACTAAGGGGTTTCTTGATCATATCCATTATATGAGTTCTTTTAGAACTTAGAAGGTTGTTACGAGTAGGTGCTGGCGATGCGCGTCTTGTGCTGTCAGTCACCACTTTCGATATTATCAAAGCGTATGCATGCCCACTACGCCTACATATTTTTCAGTGTAGCTGTCAATGCTATGCCTATATCGAAGTGCGTATAGACACATCCGCGATGCACTGGTGATGAATATCATGGCTGTTTTCTTGGGTAGGCTGAATCTTTCCACGCCATGCCACTACAAATGGGCAGGCTTGTGTCATAGCATGTTCTTGCGTCCTTGTTTGTCAAGGAGGTGCTTAAATCAGAAGTATTGCAGATACTTAGCACGCTGTCCCAAATATCTGTAATATTTTGAACGCAATTTCCGTGGAAAATTATCATTGGTGGCGCTGCAACAGCACTCCACACTACTGTGCGCAGTGCTGTTGCAGTTTTTGCTAGTTGCGTTTTCAGTTCGTAGTTCCTCTGTCGGTAATTGAGGCATCCCACTGCGCCGCAGCATGCCTGCGTCTCGTAGGCGTATGTTGGTGCTGCTCTACTGTCGTTCAGGTGTGCTGCTGGAACATTTGGCGCTGAAAGTATCAGAGTAAGGGATACTTACCATAGTGATTGATCACTGCCAGAGAAGGAAGCTGGTTGCCCCAGGTTACTGGGGGAGTGGGTTTCCGCAGGTTACAAAAGGAATGGGTTTCCGTTCATCCCAAAGAAAGAGCTGCCTCCTCTCACCGTAGTTGAAGCTAATAGCTATTGACACAATAGAGAAACTACCTTCGTCATGGTCTCAACACTCAGCCTGCCCCAGCTATCCTCCGGATGCATTCCCCTACGGACATAGTAACCTCGCTACAGTCAGCTTCGGTGTGCCACAGTAGTTGAAAGCGTCGCTGTGCCTCATAAACATTCCTCACACAGGCCAGCTCTCCATAGACCAGCTTGGCTCATCTTCAACTATCGAAAACAAAACTTGAGTGCCACAAGAAGTCAGACATGTAGTGAGCGCTGGTATAATCCCTTGCGTCAGCCTGCTGGTTAATAGTAATTCGGATAGACTATTGACTAAGACTTGCTGCAATGTAAAGCACACTTTTGCCCGACGTGCAGTATCACAGAAGGCTTTAAAAAGTGGTTGTCGCCTCATTTTTTGGGTTCTAATGGGAAACAACTATCACTCCATTCAAACGATCCTCCGCAACTGCACCGTTGACTTCAGTGAGGGAGGTGACGGAAGAATTTTCTTGCGCAGCAGCTGCATATGTACCTCACTCGTGTACCACGTTGAGTGGACGAAGCAAAAAAGCCTTGCTGAAATATCTAAATGACTGCTTGCCGTCTAACTGTTCATGCCAGCTTGTTCAGCTGGACAAGCCTCAAAGCGCTCAAGGCTCTTCAGAGGAAAGCAGCGAAGTCAGCCACCCATTCGGTCATTGCTTTATGCTGCCCTGCATAAAATCCCCCAGATAAAACACGGCTTGCTACTCTCGGACTCTTTCAATATCTCCTGCGTCCTTTCCCTCAAAAAGCAAAGACAAAAAAATCGTTTTGATCTTATCCTAGAAAGACGCCCACTTGTCATTCAGGATTTCAGGAACAAGTGCTGTCTTATTAATCCATTGCTAGCGTCCTAACATTGGGAAAACGCCTAGAAAAGAGCGAAAGCGGAGATGGCGACCGCAGAAACAAGGGCAACTGAAGGGCCGACAGAGGAAGCTCCGCCGCTGTTGCCAGATATAGCCTGGACAATTTTGTTCCATTCGTCCTCTCTAAAAACAAATTATGAAGCGAACATGACCAAACACTGTTTTGAACACTCACAGCGATACAGTGTAACTCGAAAGGGATGTATTTATTCCAAAGCAGCACCGACGTTTCCATCTGGATGGTTACTGTAATTAGAACTTACTTGAATGGTGCCGCACTTGCGTTTAGTGCAGCGGGATTCGTCAGACAAATGATGGCATCAACTGTGGTGGAGGCAGACGAGAGTCTGCGTCCATCGCCAGGGGTAGTATCTGACGGAGGCGGGCATTGGAGGAATACGCAGCTAACAACAGGCTCGGGTTGAGGGTTGTACAAAGCAACGAAAGACACAGCCCTGTCACTGTACACAGAGGGATTATTGGCGCTTTCGTATGTGGGGGGAATCTCATTATTGAAGAGAGAGAATCCGCCCTTCCAGTATTCCACTGCAGCGTTGCAGTCTTTTTTGTCATCGGCAACGGGGTAGTAAGCATAGGTGCCAGTTAATTTAGCAGCCTCGCCAGTTGTTGAGGACCCTGCCTGTACACAAAAGGAGAAAGGGAAGACACGAGCACTCAGTGCCAGTGTAGTTTGAGGCTCCCTGAGGCCCTAGAGCACTTGAGGTGAGTCTCCATTTCAACAGTGCAGAGAACGCGATTTACCCCTGTGACTTTGGGGCAGATCTCGTTTTTCCACAGAGTTTCAGCAGCCACTTCCACGTCTCTTTGAGCAGCGTTTCCATATGCTGGCAATACTTGTGTGACTTTCGAGGCATCTTTAAATTTATCAAGTCCAGCAGCAGTCCTAAGCGCGTTCATCATTTCCAAACAGTCCAACTTTTCTGGAGAAATTCGGATGCACACAAGATACGCAAATGGTCTGGCAGAATTGGGACGCTATTTTTAATCATCAGATAAGAACAGGGACAGGTAGGAAACTCACCTGCTTTTGGATTAGCGACAGCATCTTGTTGAGCTATGGCCTGTCCGACGAGCAGTGACAGCGAAATGAGGGAAACAAAGGTGAAGTGTGCCATTTTCAACAACACATACGACCAGTTTGGAAAAATCATAAGAAGTATTTTCAAGGTCGCAAGGGGAGTGTTCGTATCATCTCGACAAATGAGAGCGAGGTTGATAGCGGCAGTCGATGGGAGCGTTGTGCTTGCGGCTTGCGACTGAGCGCTCGGCTTACTTTGCATTATTTCGCCAGCATTTTGAGGCAGAAAAACAAAAAGAATTTGACAATAAAAGTAATAATTTATATAAGGTAACTGAAAAGTTGCGGTTGTGACAAAAACCTGCCGTTTCTTTGCTCTACGGTTCGCATGAGGATCTATATCTGTTCACATGAGGATCTATGTAGCACTGCAATGTCTGAGGCTTTGTCGGAGAAAGAGTCAACGAGCACTACTCCATGACTGTGCTGTTGCGTCAGATAAGGCAGACTGAGACACCGCGCTCCAAAGTATTCAAGTGTGCCGGGCACCAGACGTAACAGAAGCCATCGTCTAGAACGTGCAGAGCGCATTGGCGTTTCAGTGAGGCCCTACACACCGTACACTGCAGCAAAAGTCCACTTCCCTCGTCTTTCACAAAGAAATAACCTCAGCCATGTACTTGAGTGGAAAGATAAGCGTTTTTTTGACCGCAGATTGCTTGCAAACGCATTCGCTTGCCAGTTGCCACGGCGTGCTGAGGCCTTATAGGGATGCAAAGCCTTCTGCGCTCTTCATTGAAAAACACTAAACTCAAGAAGGCAGCCGGCATCCCTTGCCTTCCTACGGCCGTGCCTCATGTGCAGAAGCCGGGAAGCGCCACGATCGTTACCCCCACAACTAGCGTTCTTCTTCTTCTCTGTCAGATTAAATTTTTGGCTTCCCTGTTATTTGTGGGCACAAGTGTAAGCGCGGAGGACGCTCCACCTCCACGGTCGATGAACGCAACAGGCCGGTATACGTCAATAGTTCGGTGTAGGTGTTGTCATGGGCCTTTGCTACATCCAAAATGACGGAAGTAACTGCCAACTCAACAACAGTATGCGTCCTGAGCAAACAAAATAGCCAGACTTTGGCGAGAAACTGCCTACTGCACCTGGCCCACTCGGACATGGCAAGACACTATCGAACAGGTACAGCCATTTGGAAGGCAATAAGGAGTAGTAAGCATAAATACGTTTGGATAATATCGATAGTGGCACCTGACAGCACACAGCGTGCATCTCCACTACCTGCTTGTGGCAAATCTCTGTAGGCGATTTCCCTTCATCTTCCACACGCTTGAATACAAACAAGAAAGCACCGCAACAAGCCTCCCGGCCTCGCATGCTCAATTAAGTATTCGACAAGACGGGCAGTGGAGTCTCTGTCCAGTACCCCCATCCTGCACAGAAACGAACAGCTTGCCGAAAACCGGCAAAAACTGTCACTATGCAGCCAAGCGCCGATGACAGTCTGGCTGCGGAAACCTCGTTGCTCTCTTCAGGACTAACTAGCGTGAACAACCTTCTGCCATTCTGCGAATTCAGCAACAGGACAAGATATTGATCACCTAGCTAGATGGGAGAAAGCTCTGCCTATGAAGCCCACAGATTATGACAAGCTTTCGATGCAGTTTGGGCCGCATGCAGCCGAGTCTATGTTTCTGGGGCGTGTTCTCACGTGAATGGCGCTTCTCTAGAGGGTCAGAGCTTCCGGGTTCGTCAAGCAGATAACAGTTGTTATTTTGGCTTCATCTTGAATTATCGCCGATGAATATCTGTCATGGTTTCTAGACAGGGACTGGGCAGCAAGTGCGTTTGCGCCTGTTGTTCTGCAGGTGACACGGACGCAGCTGGCCGCAGACTTCGCCGTGGGGTTATTAAGGGCAACAAGGGAGAAGGCCCTGTCCGTATACATATCAGTGCTGCTCGTCACTGTGTGCTTTGGGGCTAGCTTATTTACATATTGAAGGGAGAAAAGCCCTTTCCAGTACTGCACTGCCGCCTTGCATCTCGCCGGCATAGTACGCAGGCGCTCCCACATATTTTACCATTTCTCTCCAATTGAGTTTTCTTCCTTTGCCTAACGGGATCGAAAAAAACACGACCGTGGCATCTTTTGCTGAATGCGCAAAAGCCTGCAAGATTTCGATTCGCTAAGTGCTCCTGAAGTTGCGAAGGCAGTGCGCTTGCGATACGGCTTACTTCCACTGCATTCTAGCAGATTCCAGTCCATAAGTCAGAAGCTGCTATCTGCCATCCTGGAGGAGACTGACCTGCATCACCTGCCCTTCCTTAGCTGCCTTCAAAAATCCAGCAAGCCCAGCTGCGCTTGCCTCATTCATTACAGTTAAGCAATCAAAAGTTCCTGGGAAAAAAGCCCGAGCGCACACAAAAGACGTGAGCAAAAAAAGTGCCAGTTTCAATATGAAAAGGTCTCGACTCAAAACAGGGACAACAGGCGAGTAGCATGCTTATCTCCGTTGCCAGTCGTGCTGGCACTTTCTGACTTCTTGTCCCCAACGTACCCCATGTACAAACGCAACGACGCGAAGGAGAATGAAAACCAGACCAGGCATGTTTAAACATAAAAATGCTAGAGAAAAAGGATTTGAAAAAAAGTTTCTTGAGGGGGTACCGCTTTGTTGTTGACAAATTGGCGCGAAGGGCATGTCCAGTGGGCCGGGTTCGATCGGCTTGGCGTATGTCTTCTCCATCTTCTCCTTCACGTTACTTCAGGCCAAATGAAAAGCATATTGATTAATTTGTGTTTTCGCATTGAACAGTGATTTTCACCTTTCGTGATAACACAGGTAACTCGAATGTTCTGTTGTTCTGCGTCACCGCGTCACCGACGGAGATCTACGCCACCCAGGACATACCCAATGTGAAAAAAAAATTGCCCTTAGAAAGCTTTTCGTTATACTGGCTTGTTCAGCTTGTGTGCATGCATTTATTGGGGCAAAAGCCCGCGGAAAGCACGCACAACAGGCGATTTGAATTTATGCCTGCACATATGTCCATTGCAACATTTCTAGAAGCAAACCCCGATTTAATTAGGTAAGTAATAATAAGTTGGGGGACTAAATCATTCTTGCTTCAAATCACGTGGAGACACTGTGGAGCCTCAGTGCGTGAGAACGCCAAAACACGGCATTTCTCAGCAAGACTAGGTTCAAAATGCCCACAATGCGTTCAATTCAAACACTTACTTGACCAAAAATGATACAAAAGCGTGTCAAATTACAAGCCCGCCCCAACGAAGTGAACTTGTGTGGGGAGGCTTAAGCTGCCTATAGAGGCATGCATGGTATATACCACCACTGCATCACCGGAAGGTAAGTAAAAACTATTAGGCGATGATGCGTTTGGAGTATATCGACATGACACCAGGTTGTACATGGCGTGCACTCCCAGCATCTCCTCGTGGCAACCCTCTGCAGGGGCTGGAAAAAGTTCAACTCCTGCAGTCTTCAAGACAAACGATAAGAATTCCCTTGGCTTCGCGTCCTGGATTATTTGTTGGGTATAGCATATCTATCCAGTGTCTGCATCCTGCACTGGTGCTGACAGCTCAAAAAAGACCGTAGGCGAAAAGGGTTATTACTAACCCAAGGGCCAGTGACGGCCTGGCCTGTGAAGCCCAACTGCCTTTTCCACTTTCAGTGCCTTTTATAGCGTGGACGATCTTCTGCCACTCATCCTCCCTGCAAATCCAGCCACAGAAACAAGATATTGATTACTCAGCATAGTGAAAGCAAGTGCCACACATAGTAACTACTTTTGTACGAAGTTATCAATGTGCTTTGATTTTTATGCAGCCAGTAAGGCCGTGGCCCTGGAATGTGTGTTCCCACTTGAATGGCGCTGCTCCAGGAGTCAAGGCCTCCGGGTTCGTCAAGCAGATAACGGCAGTAAGTGTCTGGGATTCAGCTTGAAGCCTTCTTGCTGAGTGGCCACCCTGGCTTTTAGGCTGTGCTGCAGCAGCAGCTGGACCTGCGCCCGTTGTTGTGCAGGTGGCAAAGGCGCAGCTGGCCACAGGGCTCGCCTTGGGGTTATAGAGGGCGACAAAGGAGATACCCCTGTCATTGTACACTTCAGGGTTGCCCAACTCCACGTATGTTGGAGGCAGCTTGTTATTGAAGAGAGAAAAGCCGTCTTTCCAGTACTGCACTGCTGCTTTGCAGTCCTTCTCGCCAGCGTAGTATGCGGGCATTCCCTTCAATTTTTGGATTTCAGTTATTTCGCCAGTAACCTTCGCATAAAAGAACGAAAGAAATCCCAAATATAGCACATGTTACTGCATTCGCCGTAGTTTGTTGATTAGCTAGGTGCACCAGAACTAATGACAGCAGTGCGCTTGTGGCGCTGCTTACCCCCATTATTTTCTTGCATATTTGGTCCCATAAAGTAGAAGCTGCTACGTCTTTTCCTGAAGGAGAATGTTCCGGCAGAATTTGTCCTACTTTAGTTGCCTCCCCAAACTTCGGCAATCCCGCTGCCACTCTTGCCTCGTTCATCTCACCTAGGCAATTAAGCGTTTCTGAGAGGAGACTCCAACACACACAGAAAAATTGTGAAAAAAACTAACTTCAGGCAGACATACCAAAAGGATTCTCTCAAATCAAGGAAGAGACGGGAGTAATATGCTTACCTGCCGTTCCGCTTGTGGTAGCGCTTTCTGTCTGTCCACAGAACATCGACGCAAAAACGATTGACATGCGAATGACGCGAAGCATCTTGAGCATTTTCAGTCAAATAAGATTCAAGAATAAAAAGACCAGACGAATAAGCTCTGATAGTAGTTAGAGAACGTTGCTTGACTCTCTAGGAATGACCGTGAAGGGGACCATTGTGAGAAGGGTTCGCGTGGTTGTGGTTGTCGTTGAGGTCTTTCGTTTTTCCCCCATCTTTTTTACAATAAATCAAGTAAACCAAAATATAGATAATCTTTTTGTAGCAGTCCTACTCGTGAATTTTTATGTATGGTGGTGCATCTGCCTTTCAGGTTCTCCTGGTTGGAGTTGTCGCATCACCCATCGAGATTTTCACAGCCAGGTGCATGTCCAATGCAAAGAAAACTTCTCTCTTGAGCTAATCTTCAGTACACCGGCCTGATAAACATTTTTTCTGTTTTGAACTGCCGTATGAGGGAGCAAGAAGCACCGTAACCCCTGCACGAATGTTTGTCAGCAACACGTTGCAGACCGTGCAGTTTAAATTCATGCATGAACAAGTGTTCACTGCAACCCATTTAGATGCGCGTTCATTCATTTACCAAAACAAGCTAGAATAACTTCGGGGACAAGAGAACCATTGATCAAGTTGCTCCCCTGTAAAGACGTCAGAAGCGCATCATGGCGCCTCGGCCTGTCAGACTTTACTTACATTTCTCGATGGCATTGTATTCAAAATGTCCACAATGAATTCAATTTAAGCATTAACTTGTTCAAAAAGGATACAAAAGTTCGCGATGAGATACATATAAAGTGACCTAGTGTGAGGAGCATCAAGCTGCTCACACAGACATACACGGTATACACCACCACTGTATCACCGTTAAGCCTACACGCGCTTAGGAATAGCCACAGAACTGACAGTCCTACGGAAGGTAATGAAAGCTAATGAGCAAAAATGCGTTGGGAGTACATCGAAAATGGCACCTGGCTGCACATGGCTTGCGCTTCCAGTAGGGCTGGAGAAAAAGTTCAACTCCCGCAGTCCTCAAAACAAATGATGAAAACATCGTAAGAATGCCCTTGGGTTCGTGTCCTGGATCATTTGTTGGATGTAGCGCGTCTATGCATTGCCTGCACCTCGTATTGATGCTTATAGTTTAAAAAGGACCGTGGGTAAAAAGCGTTATTAGTAACCCAAGGGCCAGTGACGAACTGGCAACTGAAACCCAGTTGGCTTCTGCATGCGCCTACTCTGGAAGACATCCATTGACTAGGTGCACCAGAACTCACGATGACAGTGTGCCCGTGACACCTACCCCCACCACGCTTTTGCTGATTTGCCCCCACAAATCAGCCGGTGTTCTACCAGTGCCAGCGTGATTCGGCAGTACTTGTATTTCAGCTGTTTCCTCCTTAAACTCGCCGAGTCCCCCGGCAGTCCCTGCCGCATTCATCTCCGCCTAGCAACTAAACGTTTCTGAGAAGAGTTCCAATACATACAAAAAATGTGACAGCGAGGAATCTCCAGGCTTATATGCAAAAAATGTATTGCGTCAAGATGAGGCAAAGACAAGAGTAAAATGCTCGTGTGCTGTTCCGGTGATGTTGGCACCTTCTAACTTGTGCCCACAGAACACAGACACAATAGCGAGTGGAATAAAGGCGAGACGGATCTTTGAACATAAAAATGCTAGAAAAAAAGATTACGGGGAAAATTTCCGAAGGGGACTGGTGAATGTCATTCCCTTGTCGGCGAATGGGCTGAAAGGGGACATCCCATAGGCTCTGCTGGAGCGCTTACGCTTCCCGTTGGCATCTGTCTCCATTTCTTCATCTTTGTTTTATTCCAGACCATTCAAGCCAAATGAAAAGGATATCGATTAATGTGGATCGACGCGCTAAACATGTATTTGTGCCTTTCTAAATCTTCACTGGATGCCTCAGAGGTCCTGTTGTTCTGCGTTAGTGCGTCACCCACAGTAATCACAAATTTCGGGCCGCAGCACTTCCAGGGATAAATGGTAGAAAACAGCTTCACAGAAGCGCTTTTCGGAATTAATCATGCTATCCTTGGCAAAATCAACGGTAGCCACCTGAAAGCTAAGGTCACTGATTCCTCCGGTGTTTATCGTTTATCTCGGGAAAAGCAGAAGGTAAACCCTTTTGTAGCCACTGCAGATTGTTGCCGGGAGCAGGTGCTGGAGATGCATGCTATGTACCAGCAGGTGACATTTTCGTTACTCTCCATACGTATTTATGCCAACCACTCCCAAGTATCTTCGGGATGACTGCCGATGCTGTGCCTATCTTTCTGACATTTTCGTTATTTTCCATACGTATTTATGCCAACAACTCCCAAGTATCTTCGGGACGACTGCCGATGCTGTGCCTATCTTTCTGTGGGTGCAGCATTGTCGGTGGTGTACTGGTGTTGTAAATCATGGCCGCTTGTTTGGTCAGGTTGAACGTCCTCACGCCAGCTCACTTCTCGCTTGTGTCATGGCACGTTTCTGTTGGCCTGTGTCTTTATTGGTCAAGGAAGCCCAGTAATGGAAAGTTTTGTAATTTTTTTGGACAAAATTCTGTGGAGAAATGTGATTAGCTGTTTGCCGTTAACAGTGGCCGTTGTGGTGTTGCAGTTTTTGTTGTTCACCTTACTTTTCCGTATCTCCGTGATTGAGGCATCCCACCGTGCCACACCAGGCGTACAGTTTGTGGGTATATCATGGCACTTCTTGCCTGTCGTCCAGGCCGGCTACTGGAATATATGCGGCTGAAAGGATCACAAGACAGGGCGTTTCAGCGTACTAACCGATCACTGCCAAAGAGGGAAGCTGTAGTGCTGCAGCTGCCTGCTCTTAGCGGATCTGAAGCTGACAGATCCAGTTGCAACGAACCATTCACATTCGTAGCTTGCTATACTCCCAGACCTACCCAGATACCGTCTGTCTTCTTTATTTCTTTTCCGATACATTCATGTCCGCAATAACCCAGTACTGACCAGTACTGACGACCTCGTTATATACGGTTGCCTGATACCACAGTAACTAAAAGGAGTCTTTATGTATAGAGGGACGCTTTTTAAGCCAGCACATTCCTCGCTCCGAACAGGCGAAAGTTACTCACCTTCAACATTCGGCATCGTAGGATACCACAAGAAGTTGAGGGCGTATTAGGAAACGGGCTATGCAGTTTCTACCTCCTACAGCGGTGTTTCTGAGCGCTAGTCTAAACGCTTGCGTCGTGCTACTGGCTGATTATAATTTAAATGGACTATCGAGTAAGGCATTCTACAGTGTAATGATTCACCAGCAAATGCCTGACTGGTATTCGAAGTGTCGAAGCAAGCTTAAAAAACAGTTGATGCCTCAATTATCCGTTTCTAGCGGGAAGCAGATATCGTTTTCCTTCAAACGAATGCCCGCAATTGCACCATCAGCTTCGCAATGGCATGTACGCCACCCCCTTGCCAATGCTGTAGGTGCGTGAAGTACGCAAGCCCTGCTGAAATAGTTAAGTGACTGTTTGGTGTCCAATATTCGTGCTTAGACTTTTTGCTCATCCAGTTCTGATAGACAAGCTTCAAAAAGCTCAAGGTTTTCCAAGGTAAAAAAACAATCATTCGGTTATTGTTTCATGCTGATCTGCATAAAACCTTCCACGAGTAGAAGATAATGTTCGGCCTCACACGATGTACGGTCCTCTGCTGCGAGGGCTCATATGTTATCGTGTTTCTGCGTTTTAATCTCGTTCTAGAAACGACCTCATCTGTCAGCCACGATTTCGTCCAGATAAATAAAATCGAATTTCATTCAGATAAAATTCTTTAAGGGCTGGCCATTGCTACTGTCCTAAAATGCCGGAGGCCTCCTACAAAAGAGCAAAAGCGGAGATGGTTGCCGCAGAAAGAAGAGCGACAGAAGGGCCTACGGGAGGAACTCCGCCCTTGCTGCCAGAAAGCGCCTCAACGATTTTATTCCATTCGTCCTCGCAGCAATTACAGTACAAAGCAGATTAAACGAATAAATTTGAAGAGACGCAATTCCACAGTGCATCTGAGACGGATGCATTGGCTGCCCAGGCAGCAAGGAGGGTCGTGTACGCGTGGTCTATAACGAATTCTTACTTGAATGGCGCTGCGCTTTTAGTCAAAGCAGGGGGATTAGTCAAACAAATGATAGAGTCGACTGTAGTGGAGCTATCCGAGAGTCTTCGTGAAGAACCAGGGACACCAGGGGTACCAGGGGCAGGAGTGGAAGCCGTAGGGCATTGGAGGAGCACGCAGCTGACAACGGGTTCGGGCTTGGGGTTGTAGAGGGCGACAAATGAAACAGCTCTGTCACTGTACACGGTGGGCTGGTTTGTGCCTTCGTATTTCGGGGGGATCTCATTATCGAAAAGGGAAAATCCGCCCTTCCAATATTCCACTGCAGCGTTGCAATCATTTTTGTCGTCCGCGACAGGGTAGTACGCAAATGTACCAGTCAGATTAGAAGCTTGAGTAACTCTCGTGGAATCCGTCTGCACTCAACAGGAAGGAGAAGAAGCTTGTGCAGAGTGCCTGTATGATTTCGGGCTCTGAAACAACCTAGAACACTGAAACTCTACTTCGGCAACGCAGGGATTGCGATTTACCGCTGTAATTTTGGGGCATATTTCCCCCCACAATGTTTCTGCGTTTATTTGAACGCTCCTTTGGCCAGTTTTCTCATATTTCGGTAGAACTTGCGCAGGATCCGAAGCAGCTTTAAATTCGGCGAGCCCTGCGGCCGTCCTCAGCCCGTTCATAGCTTCCAAGCATTCCAATGTTGCTGGGAAAATCGCCACACACAGTTTGAGGGAAGACGAATGCAACCACACAATTACGACTCCATTTAAAATTAGTTAATGCAAACGACGTGCGAGAAGGTCCTCACTCGCTTTTGGAGAAGTACCGCTAGCGTCCTGTTGGGCTCTGACTGCATTTTGCCGGAGGAGCAGCGACACAGTAAAGAGAGAAATGAAACCAAGACGAGTCATTTTCGATAGCAGATTAGTTACGGGAAAAATGCTTTTTCAAGGGCGACTAGAGCTCTTTGGTTTTGTTTCAATGAGTGACGGCACGGCTGACGCCTATTGACGAGCCTAAGCCTTGAGCTTGCTGCCCGCAACTGACGGCTCGACGTGCGTTGCTTTTTGCCGGCGTTTAATAAGAGGAAAACAAGGCAAATTTGATCATAAAAGAGATCTGTTGCTTTTATATACTGAAAAGCAATGCTCGTTCCAAATGCTTGCGTTTTTTGCCTTGAGAGTTGTGTGAGGATCTGTGTAGCGCCGCAGTGATATAGAGGCTCACTTTTCGAAAGAACAGGCATTCAGCACTATATGATAATGTAGCTAATACTGTGAGTTGTACACTACTTGAATAATTAGCCTGTAACTCTAAATTTTTCGCATGCTGGAGGCATACGACGCAACAAAATGTCGCGCAAGCAGGGCGGCTCGCTGGCAGTATTTTAGCGAGGTCGTACACACCGTACACCGTAGAAAAAGTCCCTCTTTCTCGTTTGTCACCAAACACCCACAGCCAACTAATTGATAATAAAAAGACGTTTCTTTGATGGCAGATTGCTTGCAAACGTGTCTGCTGGTCAGTTGCCGCGGCGTGCTGGGGCCCTACAGAGATGCACAGCCTTTTGTGCACTTCATTGGAAGCGAGTGAATGACGCAAAGGCTGACCCGCATGTGCTATTCTAGAGTTGTGTTCAATGTGCACACGAGAAAACACACTCACTGCAACATCACATGCTCCCATGAGTGCCCGTTGAGCCGCTTCAAGTGCAGTCTGACTGTTCAGATAGGAAAAAAAAGCCTCAGTCGTGGGCGCTCTTGCTTCAGGGCAGTTGAGCAGTTGGCCTTCGCGCTAGGGAGGCTCAACCCCTGCTACGGGAACAATGTGAGCGGGGAAGCTGACGAAAAGGTCATGAATTGACTACGAAGGCAATACGAAACAGATATATGTCGCTATAGGCCGCCGTTTAACCTTTTCTGCCCTCAAGATCTCTTCCAACTGCTCTCGAGATTCTAGCTGTCTCCGACATACATAGAGTGCTCTTGAAGCAATTCATTGCAGCGCTGCAGCGCGTTTGCCTGGCTATTGCCCTGAAGTGTTTTTTAAATGCAAAAGTTAAACAATTCCCACATTTGGTTGTGTTATGTAAGAAGCACACTTAGAAGAGTTAGAACACTTTATCGAATCTGTGGCTGCACTCAGGGCTACGAGTGGGGAAGCTCGAGGGTGAAAGAGGAATTAGCTATGTATACCGAAGGCAAAAGCAACAGTGGAAAACCACTGGCCGTAGACCGCTAGCCCTTATGCTTCTTGTTGTCGAGGTGCCTCTAATCACTGAGAACGATTCAGCCGCAAGGCGCAATAAACGGGAGGTAAAATGCACAGGCATCCCTGAAAAGAAATATCAAACAACGTATAGACTGTTAATATAACATTCAGCGTAGTCGTGGAGGGGAAAACTAAGAGGGGGAATTCTTTCGTCTCATTGGTTGTTGATCCCAGAGTGGCTGCTGCCCACCTTCAAAATGAGGAAAGAAATGGAAAGGCTGGAACTATCATGATCACCCTTCCCACACGTAGTGCTGTTTCCTCCTCAATCCGATTAAGTTCCTCGTATCTCAATTACTTGTGGGCACAAGTATACGCAGGGAGGAGTACAAGTCGACCTTGCAAATGAACGCATCAAGCCGGTTTTCGCCAACTACTCGTTGACGTACAGGCATTGTTATGGGCCCTAAAGGCAACACCAGTCCTTCTGAATCTCGTATGAAGATTTTGGTGCTACCTTAACGGACCCCAAGTGCGCAGATACGTTACCGGCGTAGTGCTGTTTCCTCCTCAATCCGATTAAGTTCCTCGTATCTCAATTACTTGTGGGCACAAGTATACGCAGGGAGGAGTACAAGTCGACCTTGCAAATGAACGCATCAAGCCGGTTTTCGCCAACTACTCGTTGACGTACAGGCATTGTTATGGGCCCTAAAGGCAACACCAGTCCTTCTGAATCTCGTATGAAGATTTTGGTGCTACCTTAACGGACCCCAAGTGCGCAGATACGTTACCGGGCAGCTCACTTAAAATCCGATTGATTGTGGCACCCTGCAGAACGGCTATGGTTAGTATTCCGCAACGAGTGTGCTTGAACCTTCGAATAATCAAAAAGCGTATTGATAAAGTGCGGCATACAGGTCTATAGTGGGTAAAAAACGTGCGTCTCTTGGGCGAACTGCAGCTTCGTGGAGCCCGGCAGTAATTGCAATTATCGTGCCACAACACATGCAGGGAATAAATGGTGGCAAACAGTTTAGCCTATAGGCAGCATTTCACGAAATTAGCCATGTTTTCCTGAGCAAAATCAGCGTCGCTAGGTCACTGGTTTCACTGTGCAGAATCAGCAAGGCTGCCACGTTGTGCCGAATTGCAGACGATTTTACACGTCTGAACCCCAGGAGGGCTGCTTCCCAAATGTCGCGGTAGAGGTGATGAGATATGGAACGATTGATCAAAAGCACAGTTATATCGCTGTATGACGTTCTCCCCACGTGTTTGGGGAGTGGCGATGCCTTCATGCGGCTGCCAAAAAGAAGGCATGGGAATTGACAGCACACGAACCTATGCGCCGCATTTAGGAAGAGGACGAGCCATAACTTAATCTTTGTATGAATGCTCAACAGATAAAATAATGGTGCTTTGGGAGTCTGTCGACGCAGGGGCTCCAAGTGGACATACGCGGGCCGGCACTGCGCGACTGCTCCTTTTGTGCTAGCGTTTTTCTTTGCTCGCTTGTCTCCTTTTCCACCACAATTCAAGGGTAACTAAGAATATCTAATTCTGATGGTAACAGCTCCGCATGTGGCAGTTTACGCTGTGCGGTACGCACCGCGTGCCCTGCTGGTTCTGGTGTTCTGGGTAGCCCCATCACCCTTAGAGGTAAGCACCACCCGCAACTTGCCCAATGCGAAGAAAACTTCTTTTTTGAACCATTAAGAATATCTAATTCTGATGGTAACAGCTCCGCATGTGGCAGTTTACGCTGTGTGGTACGCACCGCGTGCCCTGCTGGTTCTGGTGTTCTGCGTAGCCCCATCATCCTTAGAGGTAAGCACTACCCGCAACTTGCCCAATGCGAAGAAAACTTCTCTTTTGAACCACTTTCTGCTAACAGAGTCCGCTATATTTGTGTGCATTTTTGAACTGATGCATTGCTGGGCAAGAAACATTGCATCGCCCGAATGCCTTTCGGCCATTCGTTACACGCGAAGTAGTATTATTCCGCCACTACACAAATGCCTACTGCAAAGTATCTACATAAATGACCCTCAGTTAAACAATACAGGAAAGAATAAGGTGGGACACTGGGATATTATAGGCCGACACTTTCAGCTAACACTAGTTCCAGAATGCCTACGGGGCTTTCCATTGAAACACTTCCTTGAACAGTATGCATAGGAAAAAACGCGCCTTGACAAAAGCCTTTCTGTTCGGGCCGAACTCGCATGAGAAAGTCCAACCTCCAAACAGGCAGCCATGTGCCACTATTACTACGTTGATGTGGCCACATATGCCGGAAACTAGTAGGGAATGCGGTAAATAAATGTCTGGAGAATGTCCAGAGTGACACCTGACAGCACATAGCATGCATCTGCACCACCTACTCGAGGCAGCCCTCTGCCAGGGACATGAAAAGCCCCTTCTTCCGCAATCTTCAAACCGCAAAGTACCACAACAACCCTCTTGGTGTCGCATGCTCGACTATCTGTCCCACAAGGTGGGCAATGGCATTTCCATCCGGTTCCCCTATTTTGCACAGCAACTAACAGTTTAAATGAGACCATAGGCAAAAGTTGCCAGTATGACCCCAAGTGTCAATGATGGCCTGATTGGGGAAATCCCACTGCTCCCGAGAGCACGAACAATCTTCTTCCATTCATCTTCCCTGCAAGTCCAACCGCACGACACGGCATTAACCGCGTAGCTAGATGGGAGAAATCGAAGCATACACAAACTGCGGATGAAGCTAAGCTTTCGATTCGCTCTGGGATGCATGCAGCAAACTCAGTAATCCCGGAGTGTTTCCTCACGTGAATGGAGCTACGTTAGGATTCAGTGCTTCCGGGTTGATCAAGCACATGACGGCTGTAGTTATTTTGGATTCCTCTTGAAGTCTCCTTGATGGCCCGCTGTCAGCGTCTCCAGGCTGCGTTGGGGGATCAGCTGCGCTTGCGCCCGGGGTTGTACAGGTGGCAAACGCGCAGCTAGCTACAGGGCTTTCCTTGGGGTTGTAGAGGGCGACAAAGGAGACAGCCTTGTCGTTATATACATTTTTGCTGCTTGACGCTGTGAATGCTGGGGGAATCTCATTCTTAAAGAGGGAAAAGGCTTCATTCCAGTACTCCACTGCCGCCTCGCAGTTCTTCTCGCCAAAGTAGTACGCGAGCGTCCCCACCAACTTCGTGGCCTCTTGGGGTCTGTTTGCTTCCTTTGCACAAGAGAATCGCAAACAAGACAAGCATGTCATCTCTTGCAGAACGCGCTAGAGTCTGCATGGCGTTAATTGGCTAGGTGCTCCAGAACTTGGAGGGAAACTGAGCCTGCGGCACGGCTTACCCCCACTAGGTTTTGGCAGATTTCGTTCCATAAATCAGAAGCTACTATCTGTCGTCCTTCAGAAGAATCTTCCGGAAGCACTTGCCCTTCCTTTGATGCCTTCTCAAACCCAGCAAGCCCAGCAGCTGCTCTTGCCGCGTTCATTTCAGTTAAGCAATCAAGCGTTTCTGAGGCGAAACTTCAGCACAGACAGGAGCCTCGTAAATTAAGGGAAGCTGCAATTTGAATTAGAGAGCCTCTGGAATCAAAATGCAGATAAACATCCAAATAATACGTTACCTGCTTTGCCGGTTGTGGCAGCGTTTGCTGTCCCGTGTCCGCAGAACGCAAGCACAGCGGCGAGTGAAAGAAAAACGAGGCGAATCATCTTTGGGAAATGAAAACGTAATCCTACACTGAAAGGATCAAGGGAACTGATTTTGAAAGAAACCGCTTCCGCGTTGAGGAAGAGACGCGGAGCGGCTGCTTCTCCTGCCGCACTTTCCGCGGCTCCTTCAAATTCAATTAACTCATCAAAAAGCAAAATATAGTCTGTAGATTTCATTACTTCCTTTTTAAATCTCCATCTGCTCTTCAAGAAGGAAAGTTACGGCGCAGCGGCTCTGCGGCTGGAGCAGCGCAACAAGCCGCTTCAAGGTGTCTTAGTGCTGCTGCACATTTTGGTGCTGCTGCTCCTGCTGCACGCGCTGCACAGTCTTCTGCTTCTGCACATTCTGGTGCTGCTGCTGAGTTTGCTGCTGCAGTTTGGCGTGATGCTGCCCCTTTGATGGCTCTCTGCTGCTGAGCAGACCAAACATGGGGAGACACGTGAGTCGACGGAGTGGGACTTCTCGCGTTGTTGACACCCTTTCCTTTATCCGTTATCCCCGTCTTTACCATCTTTCAAGGGACACAGAAATATCGAGCTGCGTCGGTAAGTGCGCCGCATATGTTGTTTCGTTCTTTTTTTCGGTGTCCAGGGCGTGCTTCGCGAGTTCTCGTGTTCTGCACTGCCGATCACTTAGATCTACACCGCCCAGAACTTGCCCAACGCAGGGAAAAGTTTTCTCTTGAAACAGCCTATGATAACGTAGCGCGCTATATCTGCACGAGTTTTTGAATCGACGCATCCTAGGGCAAGATGCATTCCAGGGCGCAAACGTTTTTCAGTTATGCATACGCAATTGTCCGCGGTAACCTATCTACAGAGACGATCCTCAGTTAAACAAGAAATCACATGGTAGGGCACGAGGAAATTATCCTTCGACCCTTCCTCCTCAAGCCTACGCTTCAAAACTACATCAGAAGTGCCTGCAAGGCGTTCCATTGAATCACTTCCTTGATCGATAAGCATAAAAAAACATGCCTAGACAAACGCTCTCCCGCTCAGACCGACATGAAAGGAGGCTCAACCTCCAAACAGACAGCCATGCTATATAGCACTATTATAACAGTGATATGGCCACGCATGCCGAAAGATGCAGCGGACCGTGGGGCATAAATACGGCTGGAAAATATCAGAAGGGTCGCCGCCATGTGTCCGACAGCACATGGCATGCAGCTCCATTACCTGCTGGCGGCAGGCCTCTGCAAGACATATAAAAACCTTCATCTTCCGTGCTCCTCAACAAGAGCTACAAGACACCGCAGCATGGTATCGTACGCAGACGGGCAGTGGTATTTCCGTCCAGTGTCTCCATTATGCACAGACACTAAAAGCCTACAGATGAGCTGAGGCAAAAATTGTCGCTATGAGCCCAACTGCCAATGATGGTCGGATTGGGGAAACCCCGTTGCTCTCTTCTGGACCAACTATAGCGTCAACAATCTTCTGCCATTCATCTTCCCTGCAAACCCAACCGCAGTACAAGCTATTAATCACCTAGCTAGATGGGAACAAGAGCTACATATGAGGGTCACACACTGCGCTAAGTTTTCGATGCAGTTTGGGTCTTATGCAGCCAAGTCCTTGGTCCTGGCGTCTCCTCACTTGAATGGCTTCTCTCCGTCGGTTAGTGCTTCTGGGTTCGTCAAGCAGATAACGGCAGTTTTTGTCTGAGCGTCTTGAAGTCTCCTTAACGAGGGACTACTGGGTCTTCTTGCCGCGGCAGCAAACGTTCCTGCTGTTGTACAGGTGACAAAGGCGCAGCTAGCTACAGGGCTTGCCTTGGGATTGTAAAGGGCGACAAATGAGACGGCCCTGTCGGTGTAGACATCAGGCTCGCCCAACGTCGTGTACGTAGGGGGCAGCTCATTCTTAAAGAGAGAAAAACCATCTTTCCAGTACTGCACTGCTGCCGTGCAGTCCTTTGCGCCGGCGTAGTAAGCGAAAGTTCCGTCCAATTTTTTGGATTCAGTCCTGTCGCCTTTGCCCTTCACATCATAGTGGGGAAAACAAAACAAAGTTGGCACCCCTTGCTACATACGCCGTTGTGGGCAGAATTTTCATTAGCTGAGTATGCCAGAAATCTAGGCAGCAATGCGCTTGTGAAACTACTAACCCCGGTTATTTCCTGGCAAATTTCGTTCCACAAGGTATCCGCTGTTATCTCTCTTAACGAAGAGGAGCTTGGCGGCAGCACTTGTGTACCGCCAGATGCCTTCCCAAACGCAGGCAGTCCTGCGGCTGTCCTCGCCTCATTCATCTCGGTCAGGCAATCGAGTGTTTCTGAGAAGAGCCTCCAGTACACACGAGAGAGATTTGGAAAACAAAACACACCAGCCAGTAACAATTTTCCCGCCAAAAAGCTTGGAAAAGACGAGAGTTAAATGCTGACCTGCCTTTCCAGTCGTGCTAGCACTTGCTGTTTTGTGTCCATGAAGCACAAGCGCAGCAACGAGCACAATAAAAACGCGACGAATCATCTTGAGTAGCTACAAATGTTGCTAGACAAGAAAAACAGTAAAGAAATAGTTTCTTAAAAGGGTTGGTGGGCCTCTTTTCTTTGTGGACGCATCAGCGCGGAGGCGACTTCAGTGAGCGGGGTTGGACAGAGCGCAACAGACCGCCTTGGTTGTCGGCGTCTTGTTCTTTTGCATTAATTCCCTTTCCACGATCATTCGGGTTAAACGAAGAATTTTTATGGTTATTTCAGTAACTGCGCTGCAAGTGGGCTCGCGCTTTTCGTAGGTTTCACCACGTTTCATTATGGTTCTTTTGCTCTGCGTTCCCGCAACGAGCATGATGATCTACGGCGTCGAGAACATGTCCGACGCATGGAAAACTTTCCCCCTGAAAAGCCTTCAGCGGACAAGCCTGCTGTAATTGTGTGAGTCTTTGATTGAATTACTGAAGAACTAAAACCACTGCATCGTCAGGATGCTTGTCGGTAACGAGCTACACACCACACACACACACACACTGGCTTAAACTCATGGCTAAATGAATGTTCACAACAGCAAATCTAAAAATAGGTCCCTTGCACTAATAAGATGGGAAAAAGAAATTGGGGGAATCAAAAAATTATTTATTGAATTTCTCCCCATTCAAATTAGGATGGCAAAACCATGGCGTCTCATTGCATGAGACGGCCGGGAGGACATATGCACAAAATACTATACTCAAAATGCCTACAATTTGTTCCATTGAAATAATCTTTTTGATAATAAGCGCACAAAGAAGTGCCTTGAAAAAAGCCCGCCCATCCATGTCATCGTGAAGGGCAGGTCAACTTCCCCAAGCGGCCAGCCACGTTATACACCACCAGTACACCGCCAGTACAACCACACACACCTAGGGATAGACACAGTACTGACAGTCATTTGAAAGGCACTAAGGAACAGTAGGGACAAATACGGCTGGAGATCATCAAAAATGGCAGCTGACTCCACAAGGGGTGCAGCTCCGCCACCTGCTCATGGCAAGCCTCCGCAAGACTTATATAAAGATCCATCTTCCACACTCTTTAATGCAAAAGATAAAACACTAGAAAAATTTTCCTGGTGTCGCATGCTCGATTGTTTATTTGGCGAGATGATCAATGGTATCTGCTTCTTTGTCCAGTGCCCCCATCCTGCACAGACACTGACAGCTTACAGAAGACCGTGGGCAAAAATTGTCACTATGAAACCAACTGCCAATGAAGGGCTGATTGGGGAAGCCCTGCTGCTCTCTTCAAGACCAACTATAGCGTCAACAATCTTCTGCCACTCATCTTCCCTGCAAACACAAGCTCACGACAAGATATTAATGGTCTAGCTAGATGGGAGAAATCTCTGCATATGAAGGCCTCACACTATGCTAGTTTTTCGATGCATTTTGGGTCTTATGCAGGCAAGTCCGTGGTCCTGGGGTGTGTTTTCACTCGAATGGCGCTGTCCCAGAAGTCAATGCGTCTGGGTTTGTCAAGCAGATAACGGCAGTTTTTGTTTGGGCTCCGTCTTGAAGTCTCCTTAATGGGGGACTGTCATGGCGTCTAGACCTCTCTTCGGCATCATCAACCGCAGCTCCCTTCGTGCAGGTGACAAGGACGCAGCTGGCTACAGGGCTTGCCTTTGGATTGTAGAGGGCAACAAAGGAGACGGCTCTATCGGTATAAATCTCAGGCTCGCCTAACGCCGTGTACTTTGGGGGCAGCTCGTTCTTAAAGAGAGAAAAGCCATCTTTCCAGTACTGCACCGCCTCTTTGCAGTCCTTTGCGCCGGCGTAATGAGCAACCGTTCCTACCAAGCTTGCGGCTTCAGTGATCTGGACATCTTCCTTCGCATGAAAGAATAAAGAGCGAAATAAGTGCTTAACCTCTTGCTACATAGGGCGTAGTCTGCAAGAGGTTGATTGGCTAATTGTGCAACAGCAGTGCGTTCGTGGCATGGCTTACCCCCATTAGCTTTTGGCAGGTTTGCTTCCATAAATTTTCAGCTGATATCGTTTTTGTTGGTCCGGGATACTCCGGTAGAACTTCTGTTTCTTTAGATGCCTTCTCAAATTCAGAAAGTCCCGCAGCTTTCCTCAACTCGTTCATCTCCGTTGTGCAATCAAGCGTTTCTGAGCAGAAACTCCAATGCACACAAAACAGTTGAGAGTGAAAAAGGCTCTCGGCCCAAAAGAAATGAGTATTGCGTCGAAACGGTGAGATTTAGTGTCAGCATGCTTACGTGCTGTCCCGGTCGTGGTAGCACCGTCTGTCTTGTGTCCACAGAACACAGACATCACGACGGGTGCGATAAACCAGAGACGAAGCATAGTTGGTAACGGAAAGGATGCGCAACAAAAAAGCAAATGAGAAAATTGCTTTTGAAATGGCTTGGTGAACACTGCTTCCATTTGGACGAATGGGCAGTTTAGGGACGTCTGTGGGCCACGTCGGCGGAGTTGCATATACTGTTGGGATCATTTCTTCCTCCTTCAACTCTTTTTCGCCATGACTTACTTTGAAATAGTAGAAGTATGTGGCAATGCGAGTAACTGTGCTACACATGAATTTGTGGCTTCCATGATCACCATCCCGTGTCCCCGGTACTCTTGTTCTGAGTTCACCGATTGCCACCAGAGATCCACATAGCCAACTGTGTGTACGGCGCGAAGATAATTATCCGTTTTAGCCACCTTTCTCTAGGCTGGCCTGCTCTACTTGTGTGTGCTTACGAAGTGACGTATCACATGGCAAAATACATGGCAACTCACAAAAAATTTTCAAGGCGTTACACAACAACCGGTTCAAATTCACTTACATAACCTCTAATCACACCTTATCTACAACCTGCATCCTCAAAGAATCCCTTGGTTGAGCAAGAAAAGAAAGAAGGAGGTGAGAAGGACAGAAGTTATAGGTCAATTTCTCCCCTTCAAACAATGCTGGCAACAGCATGGGTCTAAATGCGTCGGGGTTGCTA